TATTAAGGCGCTTTGAGAAATAAGCTATAGGCCGTAATCTGCCGAGTTTATCTTTTTGCGAAAGGCATCCTCCCATGGCATATCCTGAACAGTCCGCTTCCAAAATAGTCTCTCGGTCTGGGTCCCACTGGGCTAATACAGGTTCTGTTGCAAAGATTCTTTTTAGCTCATTGAAAGATTTTCTTTCTTCCTCATCCCACTTCCAAGTTGACTTCTTCCTTGTTAACATAATTAGAGGCGCAGCTATGTCTGAAAATTTGCTGATAAAACATCTGTACAAGTTTGCGAACCCTAGGAAAGACCTTACTCCAGACACAGTTACTGGGGCCTTCCACTCAAGTATGGCTTTGACTTTCGATGGATCGACAGCAACACATTCACCGGCTTTGACAATAAAACCTAAATACTTCACCTCTTTGCAAAGAAATTCGCATTTTTCGATGTCTAAGTATAACCCTGCATCCTTTAGCTTCGAGAGAACACTCCGAACTATCTCCCAGTTATTATCCTCACTTCCATCGGTATACACCAAAATATCGTCCATGTATACAGTAACATCCACGTCCAAATGATTCCGTAACTTTTCATTAATGTACCGCTGGAATGAGGCTGGCGCATTTATTAACCCAAAAGGAGTCACCAGCCACTCAAATAGTCCTAGGCGACACCTATGAGCTGTCATCTACTCGTCTCCTTTCCTTATTCGGAGGCGGTGGAAAGCTGATTTGACGTCCAGTTTCGTGAACCATCTGGATTTAGAAAGCTGCCGTAATGTCTCCTTAAAAAGTGGGAGGGGTAGCGGTCCGGAATCGTTATTGCGTTTAAACCACGGTAATCCACACAAAAGCGAAGGCCGTCATTAGGCTTTCTCGCAAATAGTACCGGGGATGCTGCCGGGGAACTGCTCGGTCTTATCCATCCTCTCTCTAAAAGGTCTGTAAGGGTTTTACGCAACACTAAAAGCTCCTCTCGAGACATGCTATATAGAGGCCCCCATGGGGGTGTCAAAGGCTTTCCATTCTCATAACGAAGGTTGATTGCGTGATCTAAGTTATCTCTCAATGGGGGCAAGTTATTTGCTCCGGTGCTATCAGCAAAAATTTGGGCGAAGTCCTTTACTTTTTCCGATAGACAGTCATTGACGTCATTTTCCGAGAGAATAGGTTTTTTACAGAGTGCTTTACTTATATCCTCTATGGTAATTTTGCCGATCGGCACTGAGTCGCTCATCGACATCAAATCTTCAGTTGATGAATATTTTGGATGGGGCACTTGTCTCAAATTTTGTCTCCATCTCTGAACACTATATATATTCATGTTTCCTTTTCTGAGCTCAAGACATTGGTCCTTTGAATGAGTTATTGCGTCTTGGTCTTCAAGCCACTTTTTTCCTAGAATCATCTTGTGTGTGCTTGAAGGAACGACATACAGCCAAAGTTTAGGTGTATGAAAGCCATCGAGGTCGAGCGACAGGTGGGTTATGTAGTTAACAACAGGTTTAGTCCTCGAAGAATTCTCTGCTGTCTCAAGGGCTCGTGGGGGTATTATTATGCGCGGCAAGTTCAATCGTTCAGTTAGTTCTTCACTAATGATTCCAGAACACAGGCATCCATTATCTACTAAGGCTTGCACCATAAAAGTATCATTTAACAATGCATTAATCAGAAACGGATCTGTATTCAACCTAACTTCTTTATTATAACTTGTTTTGGGCTCCCGTGCGCGACTGTGTACAGGAGCTTCTAGTTTTCCGACCCGCTCAAATATCCCCTTATCGATCCTTTTTGTCCTTCTGGATCGATCACTGAGGGGTCGATCTCTGGTAAACTAGCGAGACTGATATGTATATTTGCTTTATTCGGATTTCGTGCGGGCAGAAGTGGGCATTTTCTTGACGAGCAACCCACCCTTTCGCAACGAAAACATTTCCTCTCTGCTCTTAATTGATCTAGCTGTGCATGGGTTTTCCACTTGGCACGCTGTCTATCCGTGCTTGTTATACCAGTCGCATTTATTCCACCCATAATTACATCGCCAGATGAGTCAGTCGGACTTGTATTTTCCCGAGGGTTTTTATTGCTATTATTCGCATAATTTGCCGGTCCTGTAGCAAAATAGCTGTTCCTTTGGCGTATTAAGACAGGTTGATTCTGTCCCACTCAGTTGTCTGCCATTTCCAGCTGTTGCGCTACCTGATTTACCAGTCTAATCCAGACATTGAAATTGTTATGGGGCAAGTTAGTATTTCCCGCAAGAGCCAGTATCAAATCCTTGTTTAGGGCGTTCCAGAGCATTGATATCTTGTTAGTATCGTCCCAAAGATCTCCTTGTGCCTCTGTCAATTTGTTTGTCCAAGCTGCAAAAAAATCTGGCCAATGCTGTCTCTCAGACATCTTCATGGCCTGCAGTTCCCTACCTGCCCTTACAGCCTTTAAGGGATCGAGGTATAGCTTATCTAAGAACTCAATGAAGTCCTCCGGCTCTCTAGTTCTGTGCACTCCTCCAACCTCGTAAAATGAGCCGGCTTTGTTTAATGCTGAGCCTTTAAGCGTGGTGTATATCATTACAAATGCCCTCGAATCGTCGTAACCGAAAGCGTTCCAGTCTATTCTAAAAATATCTAGGACTGCTGTTCTCCACGATGAGTAGTTGCCCTTATTACCATCGAACTCTGGTAGCTTAGTCGGCTTCAGTCCTTGCCCCCCTGTAGGTGGATCTTTTTCGATCATAACCTGTTCGAATTGCATTGGCTGTTACCTGGCCAAGTTAGAAGCCTGAAGTTCGTTGATCTTTTTTTGCATTTCAATTAATTCTTGCTTTAATGACTCTTCTGTCATAGTGGAATAAAACAAATTTACTGAGATAACCGAATATACTGAATTTTACCGAGATGATTGAATATACTGAGATAACTGAATATAGTGATAATACTGAGATGACTGAAAAAACTGAGTTTACTGAATTTGCTGAACAGTCAGACTTTCCGATTGTGAGAGTTAGTAAATATGTAACAGTTCCGATAAATAAAGCTTGGGCGTTCATATGTCGAAAGGTAAGTTTATTTACTAACTGAAGAACAAGACTACTGCTACACTCAACGCCCTAGTTATATACATGATTCCGATATTTCAAACACTAGTCTCTGTCCTCTAGTCCAGCTCCCACTATTAAAGTGTGGGCTAGTTACCAACGATATTTCGTGCACGGGCAGTACTAGACTTTCAATACCAGCGTATCTTAGCGCTGAGGTAATGAGTATGCATGAGATGAATAGCACAGGCTACAGGCAATCTACCGGCTTACTAGCCGCCACAGAAGTGAGGACTTTGTTACTCAATCTCGGCTCTGCAGACTCTACAGTGAGAGCTGGAGGCTCGTAGGGGACACCACTGACAGGTGTTGAGAATAGTCTTCCTTGGTCACTTGGATAAGCTCGTCTGTGGTGGTGATTTGACCGCCTAATGTGTTGATTTTAACTGGTACCGGGGCAATCCGGACGGTGACCAAGTTGGAGGACTGCACGAGTTTGGAGTTGATATTTGTCAAACTTGGGGAGGAGTCCAATGGATGCACAAAGGCTATCCTACTTCACCCAGATGAATGTCATGGGACACGCATTTACTCTTTCCATTTGCATCAGATTTTAATTGCTTATGCAGCTATCTAGCCATGACACAACATCAGAGAAAAAGTACGGAAAAGGTGACTCGAAATACAAGGAGAGCGCTCATGTCTCGGATCTTATTTACAAGTACTACTGAGAAGTTATGGCGTCTGTTTCTTCACTCCACGTCAACCCTCATCCATGACTATCCATACAGGGAAACGTATCCAAACCCCTGAGTTATCTAGACATGCTTCCGTCATCCATGTAATTCTCTCCGTGCGAAATGTGGTCTGAGGCTTTTCCTTCGTAGGTGGGGTAGGTGCCCAGTCTACTTTAACTATACAGGAGTTCATCGCCTGGAGGCGAACCTCGGCGCTTTCCACCGCCAGCTTTTTCTTCTGGAATTATTTAGCGTATTTTGAGCTATCTAGCTATGACACATGATCGGTGCTATGTATAAATATTGGGTGGCTCTTTTAACTTTGGACACAATCATGCTTTGCATTCCATTTGCAAATACCATTATGAGGTATGCTTGCTCACACAAACAGTCAACCCTCCTCTGTGAGTACCCATCATAGAACCTCGCACAACCTTTGATCATCCAAGCATGCCTTCGTCATCCGTGTACGCGAGCGCCACCAGATATGTGACTGTGTTTTGCCGTATCCAAACTAGGCATCTCCTGTCTCAAGTGGGATGTGTCCAAGCTATCAAAAATCTACTCGGGAGACCGATCGAGATGATAAACCACCGCACCATCCAACTATATCGGTGTTTACAGCGTCGCTTGCACTTTCGCAATACAATTCTTGGAATACACATGGCTAAATCTGTGAATCTCCTTGCCAAAATTCATACTTTCACGCCCGTCCAGGCTAGATCCACCCTCTGTAGTGTAAACCTCTAATCAATTAACGCGGATGATCGGGTCCACATCACAGAGCAAAAATAGTCTGCCCTCGCGATTATCTAACAAAAAAGACGGAACTATTATATTCATGTATCTAAACCAAATCACTAACCTATCATCGCTCAGCACGAAAAATTTTTCCTTTGTGGTGGGGACTCATTGAAATATACCAATGATTTTTCAAGATTTAATTTCTATTTTGAAACTTCCAAGTCGGAAATCATTACCCTCATTTACTATGGTCCTGTGACTTTGAATCTGTATACAGGGTTCCTGACTGCTCCAATGACAAATTATGGGCTGCGATACATTCGTCCCCCATCTCGCCCTGAGTCGCGCGAAATTTCAGCTCTTCTCAGCGATCTCTATTTACCTAACTTTGATTAATATCACACTAATATTACATATGATGCCCACCAAATTCCCTCTAGGAAATTTTGAGGCTTAATTAGTTTTGGGTTTTTCCTCGGAAAGATCCTATTAAGATTCGTCTTCAGATTCAGCATCGGAAAGTTCCGCCTCGAAGGATTCATCATAAGTAAGCTCGTCTTCTCCGTTGACTACGACCTTGTCACAGTAACTTTGTTTCCCGGTCTTAGTTTCAGTCTCAAATACCCGTATTGTATTGTCTGGTGTAAAAATTCGAGCTGAAATTGAATACTCGGCTTCACATTAGTCATTAGTTACTGTAAGTTCTTTAGAGGGGAGAGTCAACAGACTGCCATCAATTATCTTGTTCTCAAGATCAAAAGTGATGTGAAGAGTGTTTTCGGTCTTCCATGTCGTGTCGTGCTTTTTCTTGGGGTTCCGGTCGACCTTTTCGGCTGCGGCTTGTACAGCCTCCTCGGCAATTTTGATAGTGCTCGGGCACAAGTAGTTGCATTTTGATAAGGCCAAGGTAAATAGGCTCATCAGGGAAGCAGAATATAGGAACTTCATGATGACGGTGACTTGAAGTAGAAAGGTTGTTATTAAGTGACCGAGGTTCGTGGGACGTAGAGAGCTGTAATTAAATGCGATCCAAGTTTGAGCGAGGTTGAATATTGGGCACTTTCTTTCTCGGATTCGTAGGGTGTTATAAGATATATTGAGCCGAGAGGCATCAGCCCATTAAATACTAATATTTTCATCGTCATCATTAAACTTGAGGGCAATCAAAATATCTATATTTGGTACGCATGAATTGAATAATCCTAAAGCGCTTTGAAGCGTGATTACTGAAGAGGCATTCAAATGAATGATAACTGTCTCCTAGGTCCAAAGCTTATTAGCTGAGCCAATTCCCTTAGGTAATGTGCATATCTTGGGCCTGGTCCAAATAAATTAGCTCGACTATCTTCTGCATTGCGAAGATTTGAGGTTTTCGAAGGATCTCGGGAGATCTCGGAAGATTATCAACGAAATTTGGATTTTCAGGTCTCCACATGTCGGTTGAATAATGTTCATTCGTCCCTGGTAGTCCCTAGTCTCGCTCAGTTGGGAGAGCAAGTCGAGAGCGAGAAGAGATAAGTGCCAAGACTTCTTTCTCTTCGCCAACTGTACCAATTTTGCTCAGCCGCTGCAAGTTTCCACAGTCCAAGATGCCGAGTTTATCCCGAATATTTGACTCATCTGCTGATGCAGCCATTTGGTAGTAGGCGATGCTAAATGACAGACTTGCATGTTTGCGGTTCCTACATGGCCATTAGAAATCAGCAAGGCAAAGCTATTTTTTCGACCTTTGTACCTATGAAAGTATCCATTTCTCAACTAAGGAGAATGGTACAGATCTACCGAGCAGGCTACGAGCCCATCGTACTCTGGCTTCAACAGTCTCACCTAGATGGTTTAGCGTATTGCCCAGTCCTGAATTATCAATGTGCCATCAACGCAGGAAGTAATGTAGAATAGAATTAAATTCAAGTCCCTGCCAAGTCTATGACTATGAAGGACTGAGCGTGATATTGTAAGGCGCAGCACAGCGCTTACAGCCAAGGATTTCTAGAGGTCATACTGAAAGACACATGATCATGCCTAACCTGAAGGGCGGTCGGGCACGTCTACTCCCGACTGTTCACAGTCGCTCCGAAACTGAAAATTTTGGTCACGAGGAGCCGAGCTGAGAAGTTATCGGCTCTATGAAAACTAATTACATCGCTAAACTACTCATCTCTCCGATGTATAGTACATGAATCTATGCTGACTTTGTGACCAAAGATTCCAGCCCTTATCACTCGTTGGAACATGTGGTTCGAGCCAATGAAAGCACTATTCCAAGCAATGAAGCTGCAACTCAGGTCTGCATTGAAGTCTGGTGGATTTTCCGAATAACGATATCCATTACGATCCTAAATTTGCCTTCGAGTACTATGCACTGCCGGAATTATATTTACGACCATCCAGCCGCTGGACACGAGCTCACACTCGTTCTAGAGTAGTCAATTAGGTCCCCCTTGGCATTTCCACAAATAGCATATAACTACTCCACTAATAGATCTCTTTGCTCGATTAGAAGTCTTGGAAGGATGAGGGAATGAAACTGGCTGGATTATTTATATCTATCAGAGAAACATTCAGATGTGCCAAAGTCTCGATACACATACTCACGAGAAACCTACGATTGTGTAATTTGTGGATTGACTATAGGTCAGAATGGGGTTAGCATAGGACTAAACCTGCCTTTATAAGTTGATTGTCGTAGAAAAATGGGAGATTATATAGAGGAAATCGGCTCAACCCACCTTCATTACTTTCCAGTGGACGAGGATGGAGAGGAAGCACGCGGCCTATTGAGTGATAGGTTATCTAGATGGAGAAAGTTCCACTGAGTGTGTGTTTATTGTACTTCTTAAGTCCATGACTGTCTAGTATATTGGGCTCCTCTCCGACCCAGGCCACATCTGGTACAATGCTCCTAACCTCTTGTTACTTCAAAGATCATTGATATATTTCCCATGATGAACACCCGTTCAGCTCAGTGTTTATCCGTGGAATTCAGCAATCTGGAGGGCAAGGCTGAACACCTGTACGCGGTGTCCTCTACGAACCTGGGAGTGAAATATTCTCTCAGAGCCAAGTTCAGTCAAATTTCGCAAAATCAAAGAAGTTGGCCTACGAGGAAAAATTTAAAATTACTCCACCACGTCGTTTTTCCGCTCCCAACGAGTTTAATGCCTACCTAATTCTCATCAAGTCTACAAGTACAAGCTAGCACATCCTCATCCCAATGACCACACCTCTCTTCGACCTTCTCTGGCCTCAGCTAACCACCAAATGCACGCCCACGCCGATATTTATACCCGACGGAGGAAGCAAAGCGTGGAGCACAAATATGGGAGATAGCTCTTTGGGATGGACGTGAGAGGTGTTGGAATGGAAGTTGTATAGAGAAGCGTAAGCTGTTAGGCTTGTATTTAATATCACCTAGTTGAGCGAGTTGGGAGATTGAAGAGTCTGAAAATTGTAGTGGAGAGTTGTTGATTAAACCCACTTAGTATCAGAGCGCTATTTAAACTAATTACTACATCTAAGCGGAGGACATGATTCACTTGTTATGCTAAATAATTGGGAGGCTGGTCAGTGTATGAGTCGTCATGAATATGGCTAGTAATAATAGAACCTTATTACGTTCCGTATTAATGCGCCTCTTCATTACCAAGTAGCGCCAATTTCAACAAGAGGATTAAGGACAAGTTGACAAGATGATGCAAAGGAAGGATACAAACTCGACGGGCGTGTCATTTTGAATTTTGGCAAGAGTTTTACGAATTGAGCTTTGTGCGCGCCAAGACTTCGCTTGCGAGAATGCATCTGACACTATAAACACAAGCCGACGATGGAAGGTGTTGTGATCCGCCTCTTGGTGGTGTTCTCCGGTATAGTCTGAGTAGCCTGGGCACCTACTCCACTTGGGAAGAAGACATCTCTGACCATATTTCGCACGGAGGAAAGTTGAAAGATGATGGAGGCATGTCTGGATAACTCAGGGTTTTTGAGACGTGCTCCTGGATGGGTATTCACGGATGAGGGTTGACTTGGAGTGAAGAAAAAGCCGCCATAACTTTGCAGTGGTACTTGCAAATGAAATCTGAGGCATGAGTGCTCCTCTTGTAAATTGAGTCATCTTTTCTGCACTTTTCTTTGTTTTGTGTCATAGCTAGATAGCTGCATACGCAATTAAAATCTGATGCAAAAAAAAAATTCAGCCACCTATCCACGGAATCTTCTACCTAAAAAAATTAAAAAATAAAAAGGTAGCAATGGAAACTGCGCGCGCGGAAAAAGTCTCAAAAAACCTGCAGCCCCAGCCAGGCGAGGCCTAGACACCGGGACCACACGAGGTGCGCATATTCATCTACATCTCCCTTCTTTGTAACAGTCGAGGTCGACTTGATCCAATCCTTCATCTCCGTATCGGGTGCTGGGTACGCTCCGGAAACTCATCGGATGGCTTTTCCTCCATGATCAAGGGTGGGTGACGAGTAGGGCTCCGACCCTACCATCTGATCTGATCGTGGTTAGCTTCATGATAGTGGTGATAGGGGAATGTGTTGAGAGATGAAGACGATACAGACCGCGAAAGCGATGGGGAATCCTCGTCGAAGTGAGGACTTTGATACTCAATCTCGGCTCTGCAGACTCTACAGTGAGAGCTGAAAGTTCGTAGGGGACACCACTGACAGGTGTTAAGAATAGCCCCCCTACTTAATTGACAATTCTTTTGACTTTGGAGATAATTATTAGCTGGATTTAATTTATAAATAACGAGGTCTGCTTGCCTACGCAGAACTGTTGATACCCCCCTGAGTACTCAATTAGGGAAGATTCATGATCACTAGTTACCCAATCATGCCTTTGTCATCCATTTACACTAACACCACGAGAGGAATGACATAGCCTTGCTGGATGCTAACTAAAGATTCTTGTCTCCAGCAGGTTGGCTCTCAAAGCCATTCGGTCTACTTGGGAGATGGACCCAGAAGTCGTACCGCTGCACTATCATATACAAGACTATGAGAGGTAAAATTCACTTCAACCGGAAACCCTCTGTTATGACTATCCAAAATTAACTTCTTCGAAGGCTTTGCCATTTCTTAACATCATCTCGTCAATTTGTTTAGACACTTGTCATATCGTCTCCATATGTCTGCTGCGCCAAATATATATTATATATCGGTCTCTATAATATCTTGGGCGTGTATTTGTAGGAAATCTGGGACTAGGCCGGATCTTAACGAGATTTGGTTGTTGAATTAAGGAGGTAATGTTGAAATTATGGAGTACAGAGATAAGTCAGGTGATTGTTAATGGAAGTAATTGATGAAGGGGTTTTTTTTTCTTTTTTTTTAATTATATTAAAGTCCTAAGCTAAAGCTCTAGGTCCACTACAGGTACAAGACTGGTGGAGCCGGCGGGGATCACTGCTTACAGGCCCAACTCATTCCAACCGCTGGACTTGCTACAGAAATAGTAGGAAGTAAATTACGACGCGGACACCACCTACTCCAACTCCTAGATCAAAAATCAATCCTTTTCCCTAAATCCAAATAGCTACAATCTTTCCTCAGATAAACGACACTTCTCGCCTCGTTCCCTTTCTTGTCATGTGTTGTGGCAATGACTAGTTAATCTGATCCCCGCTGAGAGCAGTGGATGAAAGAGCAGGTCGTCTATCAAAACAGCCGGTTTCCTGCGCAAATGTTTTGAAGCTTTCGTGGCATTTGGGCCCGAGAAGCTTTTTGATAAATTCAACGTGGGACATTGACTTTCTGAGCCTACGCGTGTGTTGTGCGTGGCGGCTACAGTGGATGAAGTGGGTTGGAGTAGTTTCCTTCCCGCAAGGGCACTCCATAGGAGCGTGTAGGTTATTAAAACGGCGATTGTATGCCGCAAAATTGCCGTGACCCGTTCGGGCTGCAATTAATTCTCGGAGCAGGTGCCTAGAGAGAGCTAGTTCGGGTGGTTTGCGTCGCCGAACCTGTAGGTTGAGTTGGCGGTATTTAGGCGGACAAGCCTCTATCCACCAGTCTTCCAGCAATTTTCGCCGCCGGTGATTCATGAGACCACGAAGATATGCCAGAGTACATGATCCTGGTGGTGATGAAGGGTTTGGTTGTTGAATTTTCTATTATTTCTGTGTTGGGATACACTTTGTCGACCCTACTAGGCTCGATAATTAGTAGTCCCGACCGACTGGTGTTTGGCGAATGGAGATTGCGTATACCCTGTGCTAGCGTTGTTTACTGCTGTTAATAGGAGATCCCGCACGGGCTATCTATTGGGGTTAAAAGGAGTCTGGTACCTGTGTTTAATAGAGTAGTCGAATTGACATCCTTTTATCCTTCATTATTGCATAAGCTTCCCTCTACCAATAAGTCCAAGAACTAAGTAGTGGGTTATACATTTCAATAAGTAAAGGTGTTGAGCTACGCTCATTCGAGGTTTACGCGAATTGACATATAACATGACTCGGTTCGGAGAAGCTAATACTAATACATGATTTACATCGAGGAGATTTTATTTTTGTTCGGATTTTAAATGACTAATACTTTGAATTGGGTTCATAATCATGTTACCGATTATATACTAATCTTTTCTGTCATGAGTGTTGAATTATAAGATTGTTGGTCAAACATAATGATTCCTGTGCCTGAACATAATGGAGTTATGGTTGTATTTATTACTTACTTAGGAGTATAGAGGGTAAGGCGTTTGGAGATCTTAGATACCCTGTATTAGTAGTTCCGTATTAGCGCATAGACGAGGCTGGCAGACACATATTAATAGGAGTATGGGTGCAGCATTGAAGGATACTGCGATTGCGAGAATCATACACAATAGATTAACTCAATACTTTATCAATTCTACTTCCAGTACTTACGTACCACTCGTATACAAGAATCTCATTCTAATAATGAGCACGTTTTAATATGTTTCGGTGGTGGCAATATTGCCAGCGAGTTATCTAGTAGGGTTTCTATTTTTTTAAATCATTTATTGTGTATTCAGCTATGGAGCTATGACACATGACCGGTGCTATGTATACATGTAGGATGACTCTTTTGACGTTAGAGACACTCATACTCTGGATTTCATTTGCAAATACCATTCTGAGGTATGTTCGCTTACACAAACAGTCGACCCTCTTCCGAAAGTATTCACCGAAGGGATGTTTCATAACCTTTGGTTATCCATGCATACCAGCGCCGTGAGAAAAGTGATTGTGTCTTGCCGGATTTGAACCAGCGATCTACTGTCCCGAGTGGGATATAGGTCCAAGCTATCCAGACTCTACTTTGCAGACCGGCTAAGACGGTGTACCAGCGCACTATCCAACCATGGCAGTGTTTATAGTGTCGCCTACACTCTCGCAACTGGAGACTTTTTTTTTGCATCAGATTTTAATTGCGTATGCAGCTATCTAGCTATGACACAATATCAAAGAAAAGTACAAAACAGATGATTCATCGTAAAGGAAGAGCACTCATGCCTCGGATTTCATTTGCAAGTACCACTGCGGAGTTATGGTGGCTTTTTCTTCACCCCAAGTCAACCCTCATCCGTGAATACTCATCCAGGAGCACGTCTCAAAAACCCTGAGTTATCCAGACATGCCTCCATCATCTTTCAACTTTCCTCCGTGCGAAATATGGTCAGAGATGTCTTCTTCCCAAGTGGAGTAGGTGCCCAGGCTACTCAAACTATACCGGAGAACACCGCCAGGAGGCGGATCACAACACCTTCCATCGTTTGCTTGTTTTTATAGTTTCAGCTGCACTCTCACAGGCGAAGTCTTGGCGCGCACAAAGCCCAATTCATAAAACTCCTTGCCAAAATTCGGAATCTCACTCCCTTCAAGGTTATATCCTTCCTTCGCATCATCTTGTAAACTTGTCCTGATCCCTCTCACGTCCATCCCAAAGAGCTATCTCCCAGATTTGTGCTCCACGCTTTGCTTCCTCCGTCGGGTATAAATATCGGCGTGGGCGTGTATTTGGTGGTTAGCTGAGGCCAGAGAAGGTCGAAGAGTGGTGTGGTCATTGGGATGAGGATGTGCTAGCTTGTACTTGTAGACTCGATGAGACGAAGATAGGAGTCAAACTCGTTGGGAGCGGAAAAACGACGTGGAGTAATTTTAAATTTTTCCTCGTAGGCCAACTTCTTTGATATTGCGAAATTTGACTGAACTTGGCTCTGGGAGAATATTTCACTCCCAGGTTCGTAGAGGACACCGCGTACAGGTGTTCAGTCTTGCCCTCTCCATAGTTGCATAGAGCTCTACCTACGGGTGTTCAGTCTCCGTCCCCCCGCTAACGACGTCATAACTCTGATATCCGACTACAGCCTTCTTTAGCCACTGTGACACAATCTACGAACAGATTACCTTGATTGCTAATTCCTATCATCGAAGTCCATTGGCTCTTCTTTTTCTCCGACCAAAATTTCCGACGATAAATCAGTCTCATGTTTTCTCTGAAATTCATGGTGCTCTTAACCGATCGCTCACTATGTCCTTGTATCGAAGCTCGATCTCAAGACAGCTCATTTGCAATACTGTCCAAGGAATTAGAATTATATCGCCACTAGCAGATATCTCTCCGAACCGACAAAGAAATTATTCAGAAAATTGCGTTCACATTACGGAAGTCGGTCCTAGGGATGGATTACAGAATGAGACGAAGATTATCCCTCTTTCCACAAAACTCGAGCTCATTCGAAAATTAGTCAATACGGGTCTCACAAGAATTGAAGCTGGATCTTTTGTATCCCCGAAATGGGTTCCGCAGATGGCAGATTCTAATGAAATTCTGAAGCACATTCTTGAGATGAGTCAGGGAGCGAATGACGCGGTAGAATATTCTTTTCTCACGCCAAACAAACATGGTCTTGATTCTGTTCTCACTATACTAAAGGATTACCCGAAATCTAAGGATTCTCTGGCCTTACATTGCCCTGCAACTTCTAGACCAGCGATAAAAATTGCAGTCTTTGCCGCCGCAACAGAAACCTTTTCCCAAAAAAATCTAAACTGTTCTATTGCAGAATCTCTTGAACGATTCAGGCCAGTAATAAGCATGGCCAAGTCAGCTCATCTGCCTATTCGTGCTTACATCTCTGTGGTCCTAGGATGCCCTTATGAGGGTCTTGTATCACCATCAAAGGTGGCCTCACTTGCGACTAGTCTCCTCTGTATGGGCGCTGATGAGATTGATCTTGGTGATACTACGGGTATGGGGACAGAACCAGCTACGACAGAACTGTTGCGCACTATTCAGATTGCTGGAGTACCCTGCGAGAAGCTGATTATGCATTTTCACGATACCTATGGAATGGCGTTGAAAAATACAGTGGTGAGCCTGGAACATGGTGTAAGAAGCTTTGATTCCAGTGTAGCAAGCCTTGGCGGCTGCCCATATAGTCCAGGCGCTACTGGGAATGTTGGGACAGAGAATTTAATTGAATTTTGTGTGGGTCAGGGAATGAAGACGGGGGTGGACATAAATGCTTTGAGAGATGTGGGTAAATGGATTGGTCAGATTGTGGGATGCAATACTCGAAGCAAGATTAACGTTGTTTGACTTGACACTTGATTATCAGTTTTCAGAGGGCTTCTTTTCTTTCAGCCATGTGGCCGTAGTAGTATCACTCGTAAGTGTTGAAGATAGCACTACTTGGATACCTTATTCTAGGCAATTTTATCTATGGCGGCTCTTCCTACTAACTTCAGTCAGATAATAAAATGCTACCTTAGGGGTTTGTTTGCTTTTGTCAGCCTGCTTATCAATCGGCACCCTCAAAAAACCATTTGGGAATTTTAGCACTAGCAGGGCCTAGCTAGGGTTTTCTAAGCGCCCTAAGCTTGTAGAGTTTGTCTCAAGTGACTGACCGATAAGTCGAATACTTTACCCACGTAAAATTTTGGTAAAACACGAAGTAATACAAATTGGGTGCCGTCACGAAGTCGGTGAATAATGTCAATTAACTGGTATCTCGATATACATAAAACGTTGTCTCTCCTTTTTCTTCTCCATCTCCCCTTCCTTCCTCTACTCCAAGCGCTTCGATAATGAGCTAAATCAGACCCCTGCCAGTGTCCTAACGACAACCTGAATATTGCAAATACATAGAACAATTCACACTACCCAAATGTGATCCTTTTACCGACATAAAAAAACTGGAATAAATGAATAAGTAAATGTTTCCTCGACCACTGCCACCAACGAGCGCCTAGCCGAGCTCGAGCGACCTAATTCTAGATTTTACCCAGAAATTACCTCTCCTGAGCGTATGGCTCACTCTGACGTCTCGTCCCAGGAAGCCACAATGGTAGATGGATATACCACAGGCATTTCATATTTTATTAGTGAGGATAACCAGTTTCTTGTTATCAAGGGAGGTTTGCTGTTTAGCTATCGTCATATGCAAGGGCTGGACTTATAACTCAGTGGTTGTTGGCCTAAGGAGCCAAGAACAGTCGTAGACTACGGGGCAGCACACCCAGACTAGTATCACACCCTTGAAATATTATGCAATTGAGATTTACCTCCGAGTCGTTCTTCAACTTGAACACTTAGATGTCACAGTTAACGTGGATGGGAGATGAGACCTGCTAGATATGACTGTACAGCCTCGATATCTCGAATACCGAGCAGGTGGTGCAGCTGATTACATAAGCCGCTCGTAATCGTGACTCACCTTGACTAGCACCGTCGTCTTGTGGCTTGTAGAGCTATAGCTAGTGCGTGCGACGATTCGGTGACGAGACCGGGTGCTGCCGATGCTTTTAGAGCCATTCATGTCGAGCCATGGGGATTGTCCAATCTGTATGTTCCCGAGCCTTATATAGTTCCATCCGTACATGTTGCCACGAATTTCTTTGCCGCGTCGGCCAGTCTACGTCGATCGCCATCATGGCAACGCCGATCTTAGCTATAAATATCATGCGAGTCGACGAGCTCGACTGACCCATCTTCCATTTCATTCTTTTGAACACATTCTCGACCTGATCCAACATGTCCCTGGTGTTTTACATAACCCCATCGCGTCACCCCGGTATAGCCTCTGATTTGCTAATACTGACACAATTTTCCCCATTCTCACCTCCATCGCCTGTCATATTTTCGTTGAGGTCTAGAAGTCTCACATGTAGAGTCTGAGGCGTTTAGGAGAATAACTAATTCTCTGAGAGATGTGACAAAGTGATCGAGAATAGAGAGAACTTCGGAGTAGGAAATGTCCGAGTACGGGGAAGTTCACTTCGTTCAATTGGCTTATAGGCTACAGGTATTATGATATATGCAGTGGAATTACAAGGGAGGAAGATTGTTCGGGACCGACTCGACTACAGGAATAATTGAGATCCCAGACCAGAAGAGAATTATCCACTGACTTAGAAAGCTGGGTCATGCAATGCAAAATACGAACAAATCAATTACTGGATTATTGAGGGAAGAATGGGATTCGAGCAGACTTAAAAGTTGAGTCTGATTGGATCAGAAATTTAGCACAGGCATGACGCACGCAGCAAGATTGGTCGTTAGAAATTAAATACAAGATGCATTTCCAACACAAATATGGGGCGTGGTGCGGTTACTACAGCAACTGCTTCAATAATTTTGAATCTGATTTCATTTAACCCGATTTGGCGCCCTATGGGCCCATGCAGGTGGCTATAAACTCTACTTATAGATATTTTACATGAGGAGGAAACCTTGCGGTAAAAATCCCCTCCCCCTATTAACTTTATATTCATCTATAGTCCTTCGTTACCTACAGGAAGTGCGATTGGCCATCAGTCTGAGACAGGACTAGCTAAAATTATACTCGACCTCGCCATCCTTTCCCTGCCCTCGCGTGCTATAAAGAGTTGACTGTGGTCTCCAACTTGACCCGATGGCGCGAATAGATATTCTTGTAGGACTGGGACTAGGGGCTGTTTGCGCGGGCGTCCTGGCCCTCTCTTGCCGCCCTCAGGCTTTTTATTGGACACGAGTGAACCCTTAGTCGGTTGCTGTATTAGCCGTTGGTCGATTTATTACCGTTGGTCTTGTTTCCTCCCTTCTTATATCTGCCGTTCGTTCTAAAAGTCCCCACCTTGCCCTTTGAACACTAGCCTGATATAACGTGAAGTTTTGACACGACTTTTTCTGCCACGACATATGTGCCTTGCCACAGTTGCAGCAAAGCATCGATTTCTTCGGGCAGTCTCTGGTCTGGTGAGTACCGCACACTCACCACATCTCCTTGCCATGTTTCAGGAAGCTTGGGTATGCCCCAATTTGCTGCAGTTGAAGCACTGCTTGACTTGTGCTCGGGGTGACCAGAGCTGGGCCGTGTAGAGCATTGCATCCATCACAATGCCGTTTCTAACCACTTCGCGTTGAAGAGCATCGGTCGGAAGGCTTGCGATAACTGACCCTCGAGAATGGTCGTTTGTCTCCGTAGTCATTTTAAAAATTGCCACGCTGTTGTTGGCGTTCTTTCCTCCGTGTATAATTGTCCCCAGTGGGACTCCCAAAATTTCAACAGGGTAATCCTGCTTTATGACGCAGAAATCCTTTGGTTGTGCCATCCTCAAGGCAGCGTCTCGTTGGGAGACCGACTGCACAAACACCCCAGTGTCATTACTCCTCAGCTGCCTTACGGCATATGCCCCCTCGATATGTTTTTTCGCCTTGTTTAGCAGTTCAGTTGGCTGCATCTTTACTGATCCTTCCATTCGTATTCTTACGGCTGCTTTTGTTGCTGGAGGTGTAACGACTGAGGCGTAGGTTGGTCGGCCTCCCATTCCTAGTGTCGACTGAGGAGCCGTCTTGCGCATTGGCTCCTCGAGACTCTTCATTACTGCATTTTCTAAGGCTAGCATTCGTTCTTCCATTGGGTTAGCCGTCAGCTTCGATCGTAACATCTTGGCGTGAGCTATGAAGGCGTTAAGCGCCTCATGTATCTCGACCAGCGGTGTCGCACATCCGTCAGTTCCTGCAATCACCAGCTGTCTCTAACCTTGTTTATATAATAAGCAATTGTTTTTAGTTTATCCAATTTCATACCTGTAGATGTCGCGAGAGATTCTACAAGCATTATTGCGGCTGTTCCGCTATCCGTTGGTGGTGGTTTGGTTTGTTCATCAACGTGCTAGGTAAAGTGACTACCGCTGCACTCCTCCTGGAGATTGACCACCGGTGGGGCCGGGCTAGATCAGGTTAACTACCGTTAAGTACATCTACCTCGTCCCACCTGAATGACCGGACCACCTCAGACTTCACCCATGTGCTGAGTCATGTCAAGCCCAACCGTCCACAGAACCCCCTTTTGGCGCGCCGAAGCGCAAATTCCTCCTCAGCCTCGGCCACCACGCGCCCGAGCCCTTGACACCTTCGTCATCTGTAAATTTTCCCTTCCATTCATTCCCAGCTTTGGCTAATCTCAGCATCTCCTCATCCCATCCAGGGATCGTTTTATTCACTGGAGGCCTCATCCAGTCGCCCGCCATGGCCTCCTCAGTTTGTATTCCCTTTATTTCCTTCATGCAGTATCACTCTGTCCTTCAGTCGATCTCGTCACCCTAGAAACTTTGTAGAATTTCCACTCATCCGGCTCCGTTGGTGGTGGTAAAGCCGTGAAAATTTTCCTGCCGTGAAATCCACCTTTCCAGTCCCCCACCTCGCCATGCCGAAGCGCAACGTTAAAAGTCGGAGAATCTGATAAGATGGGCCAATTAAGATGATAGCAATAATATAAACGATGAAATAACGTTCGTGGAACGTGGTACCGCTTTTCGTGAAAAATGATGTTTTTTCAACTGTTTCAATAGTCTATCAAGATTAATTTTCATAAATCTCCCGATTCGGAAATGTTAAATTGTAGATGTATCGTTAACATGTTATTTTTCTAAAAATAATCTTGATGAATTAATCTCGCTGTTGGTATGACAGGGTCAATCTCTGTGATATCACAGGTAATGAGAATGGGTTTGCTAATGCAGAAGTGGTGACTGATTGAGATGTATGTGTATATGGATTTCTATGTATCGACGCACCTGAAGCGTTGATAAAACCTGAGTCCACTTGTGTACCTAAGGCATGAATCCCAACCCCAGGCTCACCGGAGCAAGTGCTCCGACACTCGCATTTTCACTATCAAAACTAGTGACAGTTCACTACTTCTATCCAAAATATTCCACGTCGGTAAAGCATATTTGAATGTGTTTCAATCCTTGTCAATAGGTTGAGGTACTCTTATTTTTTATCATGTCAGGAATGATGATCTAACCTTGTACAGCCGCGAGGCAAACTAGGTCACATATGCTATGATCTATTGAAGGAGACGTGCACCTTATAAATCATGGTCGTTATCCTCGAATACTCATTTCCGATAGTGGTGTAGTAACAAACTTACGACTCTAGGACTGCGCACTTGATGTAGAAAATCTATTTATGTGTTTCGAATGTAACTCTTTCACTGCAGGAACGATGAGACTCTCGATTTCTGTATCCATCTCTCGTTCAAATCCCTCAGTAACGCAACCAGCGTTGTTCTCAGTCTAAAAAAAAGATTAAATTTTCGGCCTACTTAAAAAAACTTTCACTTACGGCACTATTTTCTTCATCACCGGTAGTTCGGATCCATTTGGGTGCCTGGCCCGGCGCCACGAAGACTACTTCAAACTTCCTTGTTGCCAAAAGATTTCCTATTACGAGATGGTGTTGGTAACGGGTCAAGCTATATTGTGATTTGTGTACTAAGATATCAGGATCTGTTTCTAGCTTAAACGATACAATCATGCATTCAGGAGCCCATCCATCGACTAGATTCTTTAAAAACTTTGGGATGGGGTCAAGGTTAATGACCAAGTGCTTGCTCTGCGGAGATTGGGAAGAATCATCGCGAGAATCCGCTTCATCGGAAAATTTCCCAACTTTCGTGCCGTAGACGTATTTGGGGTCAGCTGCATTTGTTGACTGTATCTTATGCTCCGACATTCGCTCGAGTGGCACAAAAAAGTCTGATACTGCAGCTGCGAGATAAAGCAAGCCGGAGGACCCCAAGGGCCGCATGAGCTGTGAGATCATGCGCAGCATGAATAGGTATTCTGTGACTGTTGTAAAAGGAAATTTTACGAGGAGTTTCCTCGCTTTGACACAATTATACTTCCGAAGGACGCCTATCATTTTCCCCAGACATTCTTCATTAGCCACAACATTGCCATCTTGCCCCTCGTGAAGGAAATCTAAAAAGCAATCCGTCGTATGGCTGTAGTGTCTGGAGTAAGGCAGCAGACTGAATTGTCGGTGGAGGAATATGACGGCATAGCCGTTGTCAAGGAAATACTCGGCTGAGGTGGCACCTCGCGTGCCAGCACTAAAGTTATCAATAAAGCGGACTGTCTGTTTTTCGAGGGGTACAGTAGTGCCTCCCGAAGTCACCAAGACGACACGTCTACCAGCAGATTTGTGAAGATTGATAAAGTCCTGTGCCAGTGATTTGTAGGCTTGTAAGCCAACAGGAGCCGGATTTTCATCGAAATAATCACGTTCAGCAGAACATGAGCTGTTTTCCAATGGCATTGTGTTCCAAGATTTGAGCGACTTCTGGGAAATACCGAGGGTTCAAATATTGATCAGTTAAAATTATATTCTAAAAAGAGATACCTGAATTATATTTTGAATGCTAATGAGAATTGAACAAAGTCCGAATTTTGTCGGAATAGAAGTGTTGTGTGGATGAGATGGACGATCATGATAGTGATGATATTTGAGGTTTTATTTACAGGGGATATTGTGTGGAGTATATTCATGATTACGTGGTCTGTGCATGGAGATGGCACTGAGCTGTTTACAGTATTTATTTATACCACATGACTTCAACATGACCAGCCTTAAATCTATCTGTACTACCATTTGACAATTACTACTTAAAGGAAACCCTCTTCGATCCATTGCACTTGAGAGATTAAGATTAACATCAAGTATGTGGTGAGAAGAGTAGCGGTATCGTATGACTTAAGAATTCAGGACGGGAAGCATTATCCGCATCTCCATTGTTTGACTGAACATGTTGTGGTAAGGTGAAGATCAAGGGCCGTGACATTTTTTTTTTTTGCATCAGATTTTAATTGCGTATGCAGCTATCTAGCTATGACACAATATCAAAGAAAAGTACAGAAAAGATGACTCAATTTACAAGAGGAGCACTCATGCCTCAGATTTCATTTGCAAGTACCACTGCGGAGTTATGGTGGCTTTTTCTTCACCCCAAGTCAACCCTCATCCGTGAATACTCATCCAGGAGCACGTCTCAAAAACCCTGAGTTATCCAGACATGCCTCCATCATCTTTCAACTTTCCTCCGTGCGAAATATGATCAGAGATGTCTTCTTCCCAAGTGGAGTAGGTGCCCAGGCTACTCAAACTATACCGGAGAACACCGCCAGGAGGCGGATCACAACACCTTCCATCGTTTGCTTGTTTTTATAGTTTCAGCTGCACTCTCACAGGCGAAGTCTTGGCGCGCACAAAGCCCAATTCGTAAAACTCCTTGCCAAAATTCGGAATCTCACTCCCTTCAAGGTTATATCCTTCCTTCGCATCATCTTGTAAACTTGTCCTGATCCCTCTCACGTCCATCCCAAAGAGCTATCTCCCAGATTTGTGCTCCACGCTTTGCTTCCTCCGTCGGGTATAAATATCGGCGTGGGCGTGTATTTGGTGGTTAGCTGAGGCCAGAGAAGGTCGAAGAGTGGTGTGGTCATTGGGATGAGGATGTGCTAGCTTGTACTTGTAGACTCGATGAGACGAAGATAGGAGTCAAACTCGTTGGGAGCGGAAAAACGACGTGGAGTAATTTTAAATTTTTCCTCGTAGGCCAACTTCTATGATATTGCGAAATTTGACTGAACTTGGCTCTGGGAGAATATTTCACTCCCAGTTTCGTAGAGGACACCGCGTACAGGTGTTCAGTCTTGCCCTCCAAGGGCTGTGACAATGTGGCACAACTAAGCGTGGTGAGCCCTAAACGTCATATTGTGCCGCACTCCAACCAACTCAACCCCACCATCATCTGCTTGATGACTGGGAGCAGGGCTGCTAGCCCAAGCTGTCGATCGCGAAATTGCTTAGTACTAGGTTGTATGATTCTCATGGATCATGTCAAGGGACCTGTGACAACAACGGTGGGGAGTGTGTAGGAAAATATGCTACAAAGAGGCATCGATGGCACGTTGAGATTATGTGCAACACCTCACAGCCTAGCTGGACACTTTGCGTACTCACGTCCCATTCCAGTTGAGCGAACGCTTAACAAAAGCCTCGGCTTGTCTCGGTAAGGCTTGGTCATCCTCTACAGTGCCTCTAGGAACAGAAAGGTTAACTTTGAAACTGAGATATTTAAGCGATTAGCCCTGAAGGCGCAGTTGGGCTAGCTCATAATAGGTTAGACTGTCTCTCGTCATTACCCCGCTCGCCATGAAGTATGGTCTGATCGTCTTCTTCAGACAATCGGTTACAGAAACACATTATCAACGACATTCTTGGCTGCCTAACTCACACAGTCCTTGAAACTTCACACCACTATCAATACATCCTCTATTCTAGCAAAAAATGTCTCTCGAAAAGTCTGCTTCAGAAACTAATGCTCGCAAGGCTCTAATTCGCGATCAACGTATTGAAATAAGAACATTAAGCAGACTTGGCTTGACATTACAACATATATCCGACGAACTTGGCTTCATAGTAAGGCAAGTGCAACTTGCGTGTGCTCGAGAGACAGAGAATCCTAAGCCTCGCAAAATATGCTTATCTAATTTAAGCGCGGAACAAGTTGATGAGCTTGAGGTTTTCGTCAGGGAATCTCCTGAAAATCGACAGATGTGCTATTTGGAACTAGCAATGGGACCTTTCAGCCACTGGGGATGCTGTGAGGGTTTGATTTCTAATGTCCTCAATAAAATAGGTTACAGCAGATGCATTGCTAGGAAGAAGCTTCCGTTAATTGTGGTTAAAATGCACGAAAGATGTATAGCGGTGATAAAGGAAAATGGAGGGTTCGCAAAGTATTGGGATGGAGCAGACCAACACAAAACATGTAGTACGCTTTCATTTTAGTTGCGAGCCATACTGAGGGCTTCGATATAGACTTTTGTAATACAGAGCAATAATTTTTGAAATAGATGTGCATTTTTAGAGGATATCAATTGATTTTTTTAATTTTGAATTTCAAATGAGGACCATTGTACTTTTCCCATTGAGTTCAAAACCATCTCCATAATTTAGACTTTCACGGAGTATCATTGGATAGTACCCCTGCTTGCATAACTAGTCGACGAAATAGACATGGGCCTGCATGAGGATCATACTGTTGTAAAGATAAGAGCTTATGGAGGTTAATTGGCGGAAGATTTACGGATTATTATCGATGAATCAATGTGAACTGCTGATATATTTGATATTCAGAACTGTAAGGGTTTAGAAGGTAGAAAGCGCTAATTATATACACGTCTGAGGTAGCTAGACTCTCGCCTTATTTACCCAAACAGTGTCACGGAATATTCTAGTCTCCTCCATCTGGTAGTACAATTTAGAAACACTTTCTATACAGTGCTCATTGTTCCTCAACTCATCACGAAGCCACCTGGAAAGTTCTTCCCTCACCCTTGTGCATCGTAATCTTAGCCATCACCAGCACAACATATACCAATTAAGGCAACATTTACAGGGATCTAACGCCAGTTATTTTGACAATTGTACTACAGTCAGGCCCCTGTTAAGACGATATTGCCGTTAAGACGATATTTTTTACGGAACGGACTTCGTTCCCAGACATCTACCGATTACACGTTTATCGTTCAAGGAGGGCAAGACTGAACACCTGTACGTGGTGTCCTCTAAGAACCTGGGAGTGAAATATTCTCCCAGAGCCAAGTTCTGTCAAATTTCGCAATATCAAAGAAGTTGGCCCACGAGGCAAAGATTCAAATTACTCCACCATGTCAATCTTTCACTCCCAAAGAATCCGATTCTCAACTAAGCTTCATCAAGTCTACAAGTACGACCTAGTACATCCTCATCCCAATGATCATACCTCTCTCCGACCTTCTCTGGCCTCAGTTGACCACCAAATACATGCCCACGCCGATATTTACACCCGACGGAGGAATCAAAGCGTGGCGCACAAATCTGGGAGACTGTTCTTTGGGATGGACGTGAGAGGGATCAGGACAAGTGTACAAGATGATGCAGAAGAGAGATACGTCTTCAACGGGCGTGAAATTTTGAAATTTGGCAAGAGTTTTACGAATTGGGCTTTGTGCGCGCCAAGACTTCGCCTGTGAGAGTGCAGCTGAAACTTAAAAAACAAGCAAACGATGGAAGGTGTTGTGATCCGCCTCCTGGCGGTGTTCTCCGGTATAGTTTGAGTAGCCTGGGCACCTACTCCACTTGGGACAGAAACACCTAAGACCATATTCCGCACGGAGGAAAGTTGAAAGATGATGGAGGCATGTCTGGATAACCCAGGGTTTTTGAGACGTTCCCCTGGGTGGGTATTCACGGATGAGGGTTGACTTGGGGTGAAGAAAAAGCCGCCATAACTTCGCAGTGGTACTTGCAAATGAAATCTGAGGCATGAGTGCCCCTCTTGTAAATTGAGTCATCTTTTCTGTACTTTTCTTTGATATTGTGTCATGGCTAGATAGCTGCATACGCAATTAAAATCTGATGCAAAAAACAAAAAGATTATCGTTCTTCAACCACTGAATATCGTCTTAACCAGGGTTTTTTTTGCTAGCTTGGTGCTAACCATGCCGCCAAAAAAGGGAAATTCTGTGGAGCAACGACGTGCTCTGCGACGATGGGCGCACCGCCAGGTCCCAAAACCAACACAAAAACTGTGCATTGAGTAGTTCTTAGCTGAGTACGGCCATGGATTAAGCCAGTCCACAGTCTCCGAGTCCTTGAGCAAGACCTTTGCGAAACTCGACGAAGCTCCACATACTACTGCGCTACGACAGCGAGCTGGAAACTGGCCTGACCTTGAGAGTGTTAGAGCGATTAGCGAAGGCAATTGGGAGTAAAAAGGAGACATCAAAAGTTCAAAGTAGCCTAGATATTGAAATGTATAACCCACTACTTAGTTCGTGGACTTATTGGTAGAGGGAAGCTTATGCAATAATGAAGGATAAAAGGATGTCAATTTGACTACTCTATTAAACACAGGTACCAGACTCCTTTTAACCCCAATAGATAGCCCGTGCGGGATCTCCTATTAACAGCAGTAAACAACGCTAGCACAGGGTATACGCAATCTCCATTCGCCAAACACCAGTCGGTCGGGACTACTGATTATCGAGCCTAGTAGGATCGATAAAGTGTATCTCAACACAGAAATAATAGAAAACTCAACAACCAAACCCTTCATCAATTCGAGAAATTCGAACATTCGAAAATTCATTTTTTCCCTCTTTCCTCCCTTCTCGACCTCGTCGCATCTATCTCTGAATTGTGATCGAGCTCAGGCATTTCACCATGCCTCCAGTTCGCAAAAAGCGCCCCAACGTCAAGTTGGACAACAC